GTTGGTTCCTCTTAATACAAATTTTTTCTGGAATAAATAAAGTCATCAAACTCTCTGTGATGCAGCTGGGGGGAAAAAAAAAAAACTCCACTGAGCAGCTCTTTTCTAATACTTTTTGTGTTCTTCTAGTTTCTGTTATTAAACCTGTCAGGCTCACTGTTGTTCTTATGTCAGCCGCGCAGCAAAGCAGCAGCCATAATGAGTTGTGGCAGGGCTGTGGCAACATTTCCACTGAGGTACGATGGCCGCCGCTAATTTAATTAGACAGTTAAAGTGGAGAAGAAAAAAGAAACACAACTTGGAGAAGCTGCGTCAGTCTAAAACAGCTGAGTAGACAAATAATGCTAATTATATCAGAAAAGAACAATATTCTTTCTGTAAAGAATCCACTTTAAAAAAAACTTAGAAGTTTGGCTCCATAGAAGCTAAACATTTAAATTAATCAGATTTTACAAAAACAATTGAACCTAAATGGTACAGAGTCTGTTTGGATGCCATGGAAATGGGTGAAATCCACCTGAGGAGGCTGCTTACCTGCACAGAGGCTGGCCAGTTGGTGTTCATCTGCCTGTCTTCATGGTGGTAACACTTGAACTGCAGCTCCAGATCCGGCCTGTAGGGGGAGACACAACCCAGCTGATTAATAGACCCTGGGTGGGGTTAGCTGACATTCTGGGTTTGTTTCCCTTTCTCTGGGGTCTGTAAGGAGGTCCAGCAGCGTTGGCAGAGGATGTGGATCACCTGCTCTGTAACCTCTGCTCCAGTCTGAAGAACAAGCATCTATGGACCATTTAAAGGTCCGTGTTTGGGATCATAGGTGTTAATATTCAGGCTGTCCAAACGTGTTTAATGAGACTAAAAAAGGAGAAATCATTTTAAAACTCTCCATGTCCGATGTGACAGTTTAACTGAGAAACAAAGATGTTTGCTGGAAGTCAAAGGTTTGGATACATTCACTGGATTTTCCTCATTTTCATTACTTCCAACATGGACAAAACTATGAGACACATTTCTATAACTTCTCCAGTAACCCAAAAGAAAATTAAACCAAATCTATTGATTGCTGTTCTGTTATTTTGGACCACTTTTTTTTCTATAAGGAAGATGGATGGAGACTAAATCCATGTCACAGAGGAAGAAATTACGGGATGTTTATTTGCAGTGTCATAAAAAATAAAGAAATAGAGACAGAAAGAAAAAGATTTTCCCAAACTTTGGACTTGTAGAGTATTTAGGAAGAGTAACTACACAGGATGCCATAAAGATGTTTTTTTGTCTCCACATCCCTGAATTCAAACTGAATTAAATCATTTGATTTCCTTTCAGTCTTTTCTCAGTATCCCAGGTCTTGACTTAATGCAGGGCAATATTTTTCCCCATTCTGCCTTTTTAAGGTTTTAATTATTTAAGATTTTCAGTTCATATCAAACCCTTTTTTTGTTTAAAACTGACTGTGGTTCAGGTTTCGCTCATAAAAACAGTTTTTAGGCCCAGCTTGTGGGCCAATACCAAGTCCTGCTGAAAATAAAACCAGCATTTCCACATAGAGGGCATTAATATATCTCTAAACAATGACATGTCCTGGATACGACCTTAAACAGCCACAGGGTGACATGATAGAGCAGCAGAGAGAGTCGAAGGCGGGACGGCAAACTTTCCCCTCAAGCCTTCGATCATCACTTTGATCCTTTCTGGCAGCTTCTTCTCAGTGTGGTGAACACATGAGCCATCGTTTACGTCTCCTCACCTCATCACCAGTGTTTTGTAGACCGAATCTCGAAGCTGGAATGCGTGGTTGCTGACAGCGAGGTTGTGCTCCAGTCGGAAAGGCTCCAACACCACGCCGTCCCGGACAGGGAACGTCAGACGCAGGTCATCGCTCGGATTACCTTAAAGGTATGGAGAGAATTTGGCTCCATTATTCTTGCAAGTAAAAATGTTTCGTGAATGGAAATTTGAAAATAAACTGAAAAACCTTTAAATTGAAACAAAGGTTTTGAGAAAAACATTGCCGTTTTCTTAGATTTTATCCCCTCTTCAAAAAAAACCTAATTATAAATTTTTTTTAGATTTTATGTCTTAATTTTCTTTTTTCAAATTGACTTTTACAAATTAAATTTTACAATTAGGATTTTATATTTTCATGTTTCATTTTTCAACCCATTTGTTTTACTGATCAAGAGGCAGCATTTCTACTTTGCTTAAAATGTGATCTGTAAAACACAATTTCAAAAGAAAAATAATTTGAAAAAGAGAAATTTAAAAATAAAAACGTAAAAACATAAAATCTATTAAAAAAAATTTAAAAAAAATTGTTCCGAAATATTAAAACAATAACTAAGAATGAATTCTTTTTGTGTAAACTATTCAAGTTTCATTGTTGAATTGTATTTTGTCAATATTTCCATTAAAAAGACATGTTTTTTGCTTGAAACAAAAAAAAGCACAGAACTCACTCTATACAAGGAGAAACTCAGATCACATTTTACTGGAATTAGCAACTAAAGTTCAAACCTTTAATAAAAGCGTATTAAAAAGAGGCCATGACTGAGGATCTGCATTTTCTACAGACAGGTTCTGCTTTTAAAAAAACAAAACAAAATCATGTAAAATAGGAACATTATCTTCCATAAAAACTACTTTTATGGAAGATAATTGAAGTATGTCAACACGATGACAGAGGAAATGCTTCTTGTTTCCTGACAGTTTAAAGCCTATCATTCCGCGCTGTTGGAGGTCATCCCAAAGTTGAAATCATTTGAGACGGTTCCCAGGCGTAGACTAGGTTCACTCTGAGGGTCAAACATTGCTGCAGAGGGAATAAAATCATCCGAAGCTTTTTACTCGACAGGAGATTTTCTCAGTGTCGCAAACTAAAGACTAAAAGAGCATAGCTTGTTTAGAAGATCCCTCATAGAGACACTTCTTTTAAAGAGAACATTGAAGCATTGCTTTTGGGGTAGAAACCTGATTTTCAATGAAAAAAAAAAAAGATAAGGATGAAACGGAGATGTTCGGCCTTTATGCTTGGAGATCCGTCTGAGGAAAATCCCCTGATACTAACTAGAGATCGACCGATAGAAGTTTTTTTTAAGGCTGATGATAACAATTATTTTGACATCAATCTAACTGATCCGTATGGAAGAAAAACTGTCTCATTAGAATCTGCCTTTTTTTTGTACAACGAATTTTAAACACTGACTTTTTTTTACACAATGAATTCCTTAAATTGAATTTTTATCTGGTAAAATATTGCATGCAAAAAAATTCAGCTGCGAAAAATTCAGCCAAAGCAATCTACACTCAATACAGTCCAGCAGCTTCTAGTTAATGAAATTAGCTTATTTGGTCATGTGACACAACAGTTAGGCATGGCTTTGTTTCCGGCTGAATAAAGCTGAATGAGGAGTTTTTCTTGTTAAATAGACATGATTACAAAACATCAGGTAGCTACTAATAGACAGCCATTAGAGTTTTTCATCTAATCAGACTGGGTGAAAGAACTGAGCTCATCAATTGCAGGTTAATTTTTTGCAGCAAATTTTTTTGCAGCTGAATTTTCACCAAATAAAAATTCAGTGTAAGGAATTTATTATGTAAAAAAAATTCGGTGTACAAAAAAAGGCAGATTTTAATGACACTGTTTTTCTTCCATAGCTCCCTAATATGTGCTGCAAATATTTCTGGGCCAATTTTTATTGACCATTTTGTCTTTTCTGCCTCTATTTACATTTTAAAAAATCCTACAATGTGATTTCCTCATTTTGTCTTTCATAGTTGAAGTGTATCTATGACATTATTATCATTAGAAAAGATTATCATAATTCTAAGAAGGAGAACTTGCACAGTCAGTGGCTGACTAAATACGTTTTGGCCTCACTGTACATTATAAATATGTAAACAAATGGTACATAACTCCTAAATGAAAAACACACTTTTAGAAATGCATTAAATGACACATTAACAGCGGTAAGCAAAAAGAGGGAGGGGCAATGATGCAGTGGTTCCTAAATTTATCTTGATGGGCCCATCGATCTCTAAAACGCACCAAACTTTTCAAAACAAGGAAAACTCAACATTTTCCTATAAAATAAACTAAAATATACTTTATATAACTAAAACTAACACAGTTAAAAGTGCAATTATTTGAAGTTTAGCTGTTTATTGTACTGTATAACATATTTTAAACCAGGTCATTTACTCAGTACATTTTTACCTAAACCCCCTGTCATTTACACTGCGCCACCCATAGGGCGGTTTGGGAATTGCTGCACTAACGAATCGGCCAATGTATGCTCATACCAGCCGATACTGATACAAGGTACAGACAATAAAATTGGGCAAGAACATAGACTCGATCTACCTCTAATAAACTGTCATGCATAGTGGAGGAAGAGAGATGATCTGCAGTTAAAAGTGTAGATAAATGTTGACATAAGGTTACAGAACTAGCATGCGCTGCATATTTATAAGGCAAGGCAAGACAGGAAGATAAAACAGAATCAAAGCAAGTAGGGAAAAAAAATGCAGAAACAAAAAAGAATATTAAAAACAGTTGGACTATTGAAAATATGTTTTAGTTGAACTGTTTAATTAGAACAGTCGAAGGCAATCCTAAACAAATGTGTTTTTAGTCTTGATTTAAAGGAACTCAGGCTTTCCGTACTTTTACAGTTTTCTGGAAGTTTGTTCCAGATAAGTGGAGCATAGGAACTAAATGCTGCTTCTCCATGTTTAGTTCTGGTTCTAGGTATGCAGAGCAGGCTGGAGCCAGAAGACCTGAGTGGTCTGGAGGGTTATAAATGGACTGATATGCAAAATAATTTAGCAAACACAAAAATGAGATTAACAGTCAAATACACAAAATGGAAAAATGCTGTAAAAACTACAATAAAACAATGCAAAGAAGCTTTGGATAGAAGAAGTGCTCCAGACCACCAGGGGGAGACGATCAACAACTCCTATGGAAATAAGACTATAAGCTTTACTGCTAATTAATACCGATGGAGCTGACCCTTAGCTAAAACAGGAAGCCCATCCAGATGACATTTGAAGAGGGGAAAGAAAACATTTTCTTTTTAGCCTTTTTTAAGCTTTAATTCTCTCTGAGAAAACCTTTGGGGTATTTTTAAAGTATGGACCTATATTAGTAGGTGATCAATAAATGATAAAGCTTAGAGTGGCTCAGGTTATCCTGAGCTATCTCTATAGTTATGCTGCTATAGGCTTAGACTGCAGGAGGACATGGGGACCCCTATTTCATAATTTTTGCTTCATTCTATCTCTAGTCTCCCACTCTGCACAATCTGTTAGTTCAATCTCTAATGTTACGCTCTCTCATTTAAATCAATGAGTCGATGCAATCAACTAGTTTTCCTTAGATATAAAACTTTGAATCACTCTGACTGGATGATCTGGTAAAGTGCCTTGAGATGACATGTGACCTGAATTGGCGCTATATAAATAAACTGAATTGAATCATCTCCCCCTTGTGATCTGGGGCACTTCTGTTATGTGGAGCCAGTTCGCAACTTTTAATATACTATAGTTGTTTTTTGTACAAATAGTATTATATTTTCCTTTCCACGTGGTTTGTGTTTCTGTGTATTAGCATCCTTTACTTATTTGCAGTTTGTTTGCACCATTTTCCTTTGGCAGCAATTTTCTTTTGCATGTATTGTGTGTTATTCTCATTTGTTTTTTTTTTGCAGGGTGTATGCACCTCCCAGCCACCGTATTCTACCACCATGCTGCTTTGACAGTAGTTGTGAGGGAATTTTTCACCAGATGCAGCATTATAGCCAAACATCTCAGATCCGATTCTTCAAATGCATCATGACAAGATCTTTACATTTACCACCAGTATTGTAGAGTCTAGAATGACCCAAGCGAAAGTTCATGCAATAGTCAAAACCAAATCCCCACATGATCTAGTTTTCCATGACTTTGCCTGCAAGTCTTAATGAAATTAAGGATAATTGTGGAAAAACATTCATCCATAACAACATGTGAGACTGAGGAGGTCACAGAGAAATCAACCACCAGGAGCTGATGCAGCTGAAGGTGCTTCCATTTAATCCTCAACCGTGGGTGGGAATTATTTTTCACTGAATTTTGGTTCAGCTCTTAATAAAACAAAAGAAGAAATGATAAATATGTCAATGGTTCCTGTACATCAGAGTTTTTGAAGGTATAATAATAAATTGAGAGAAAGGTCAAACATCTAACCGTGACTCACCTGTAGGGGGCTGCTGGGTGCTAATGTTGGCTTTGGAGTCCAGCGGCAGGTAGGGAGGCTTGGTGTCCTGACCCGGGGAAAGGTAAGGGGGTATGGAGCTCCCTGGCGTCATCGGTGGGGTGGGATTCCCTCCCATCGGTGAGCTGGGGTATCCAGGTATCACTGCACCTCGACCGGGCTGGAAGGCAAAAGATAAAAACAAGCCAAAACTTCAACCCTCAGCTTAGTACCTCTTGTGTTTAGGGCCCTTCACAACTTGTCGATTTATCCAGCGTATGTCTGATGTCCCAGAAGCTCCTAAAACGCTGGCATACTCTGAACTTTCTATGAATTTTTTTTTTATTTTGTATATATGCTCCAAATTTCTCGACGTGTGCCAGTGTGTTTCAACGTACTTCAGAGTTCTTATAACTTATACAAAACGCGGCCATAACTTATCCAACATATGCCAGCGTTTTTGCCAGATTTTCCGTACGTCAGGCTGGTCTAAATCGTCAAGGTGTAACAGTGGTTTAGCTGTCATTGCTTTAAGTGGAAGGACTTACTCCGTTAACTGCAGCCTGTGTGAAGGCGTTGTAACCCCCTGCTGCTCCAGACGGCAGACTGCCCTGACCGTTAAAAGGCTCGGACTGGAAAGGAAACACAAGATTCCAGTAAATAATCAGCTGTTTTAACCAAAGTATAAATGAGAAATGCTTAAAAAAAAACACACAAGATTAAAAAATGTTTCTGTTACTATACACCATTTTTTCTTGTTGCACTTTGCGAAATGTAATCCACATTTATCAGTGAGAATACAGTTTAATTTAAAAACATGAATCATAAATTTATGAGAAAAAATCTGATCTGATCAGTGATTCCTACTTGAAAATTTCTGATTTTACTAGTAAATTTGTTAATTTTTGTTTGTGCTTGTATTGTTGGTAAGTTGTAACTTTCTAATTTGCATTTGTAAATTCTAAACTTAAAAATCCTCCCAGATGTGATGTCACTTCTAACTATGAGTTGAAAACAAGGAACCAAAATCCTAAATGTAACCACATTATTGACTTTCATTTACCAATAACACGGTTTTATTAACAGTTAACTATTCACTTAATTATTCCTTTACATCCCTAATCCAAATAAAATGGTCATAAGGAAGGGAAGTCTGGGTATTTATGAATGCCTCTGTGATTTACTTGCCTGCAGCACAGGGAATCTGATTACCTTATAAAACTGTGGCGGATTGGGCTGGCCGGCACCTGGAGGGAACTGGGATGGATTGTGGGCTCCAGGCGTGTACGGTCCCATGTGAGGCATCCGAGTGGAGGGGTAGGAGGGTGACGGCGCGCATCTCTGCTGTGGACCGGTGGGGTACTGCAGAGGTTGGTTAGAATACCCAGACATTCCTCCAGAGCTGTACTGCTGCCCTGGAAAACCCTGAGAAGAAAGACAAGCATGTTTAAGATCCAATTATGTTTACTGGGTTTGAAAAAATCCTCAAATTTCCCAAAACGAATGTGGTGAAAAGCAGAAAAAAAGAGCTAAAAAGTGAGGAAAACGTCCACTGGGGTCACTGACCTCTGAGTGGAAAGGACGTTTGAGGCCTTGCTGTGCGCCTGAGAAGCTGCCGTGCTGAGGCATCCTCTGAGGCTGCGCAGGGTGAGAGGGATACAAGCCACCTGTGGAAGGTGGCAGTCCAGGCCTCAGGGGAACCATCCCGCCATGGTTCATTCCTGGGGGGCCACGGGGGCCTGAATGAGACAGGAACTGGTTGCTGTAAGGGGATGCTCCACCCATCTGACAGGGGAAAGGGAAATAAAACAGGAGGCGTAAAAACAAAGCTCCCTGGTTCTTTTCCACAGCGCAGAGAGCTCGTAGAGGACAGGGAGGGAAAGTTACTGATAAACGAATGACGCCGAGTTACAAGGAGGTTGTGAAAATGTTTTGATAACGTTCACTGACAAAAAAAATCTGTAACAGGAGAGCAGCAAACACGGACGGCTTAGGTTGCCTAGAGATACTGTTAGGACAAATATTTAGCTCTTTTTGCCAAAAAAAGAAGACCAAAGTTTTATGTATTTTTATGGAACATAAATTTCTCACATCCTCAGCAATGTCAGGGTTTCTGCAGGTGGTTAAAGTTTTGCATGACCAACAGCATATCTGAATTCAGAAAAACAACTTTATCTAACTTAATAACTTTCTCACTCAGTAACCTGAGCAAGTTAAGTATAAACGTATCTTGGTGAGGTTTTTTTTGGACTCAGCATGCTAGTTTGCCTTTAAGCTACCTTACTTATAGCAGATTCTACAATAAGCACTGAACTAACAAGCCTGTTTAAATGTCTTTAAACAAACACACCAACTTGAAGGAGCTGGTAATGGATAACGACAATATTTATCTTTTGCAACATAAAAAAACACAGCAGCACAAAACAGGGATTTTTCCATGAAAACACAGTAAATAAATCTATACAAACATCAAAAGCAAAACCTATAAATGTTACACAATGTTTTTCAGAGCTATATTTAGCTGTAGCTGTAGCTGAATACTAAGTAAAACCGCCTATCTGTGATGTGCTTGTGCAAGTTTATGTTTGTAAAGTTTGTAAGGCTTCTTCAGCAGGAGGATGTGCTCAACAGCTGGAGTGAAGGGCCCCAGAACCGCCCTAAGGAGCCCATGGGAAATGATGGTTAATGAATACATGAATGCCCATAAACACAAGTCGGCTGCTCGAAAAAATATAAAAGGGCGCAAAACGAATCTCAATGTGTTTTACTTTATTGTTTTTTGTTCTAAGATCATTAAGCATGAATTTAAAGACAATTTCTGAAATATTGTAGCTGTAAATTGGCCGTTCACACTGAGCCTGGTTCTGCTGGAGGTTTCTTCCTGTTCAAAGGGAGTTTTTCCTCTCCACTGTCGCTACAAGCATGCTTAGTGTGAGGGATT